AATGCCAAAGAAGCAATGTTAAAGTAAACATATTAATGAAATTTAACTTACCCTGTGCACATGGTTTTCTATTGCAAGCTGTCACAAGTTCTGGTTTTCTTTTTTGATTACAATATTGTACATCAGCTGGCTGTTTTCTATTCCGATACACGCATCCTATCATTCGCGTCTTTGTACCAGTAGTACCACATGATGAGGAACACTAATATATGGTATAAATTAAAATCATATATTTATTATTAAATCTGCAAGCAGTTGCATCAACTCCAACTAATGGTGATTCTGAGTCTGTTAAAATGTTCGTTCAAATACTCATTTTTATGGGTTGTTTGATAAGGAGGAGTATAAATTGCGGGTAAATGGGTACGTTTATAAATGTCATTGCCAACCCTACCAGTATCGATGTGTGCATTGATGTGTTGACTCGTGTATGCAAAAAAAATCTCAGTAGATAACATGATGTTTTAGTGGCTGATAGTAAAAGGTTTGTAACTTTTATTATTATTTATACAACTCTTGGTCTTGGCATCAATTGTTCTGCCTATGTGTTTATTTCTGTGATTTCATACATTGTTATTTGTCTCTATGTAGATTTGTAATTGTTCACAGTATTTATAACCCCTACTTTATGAAGGATTTGATTGGAATGGCTGTACATTTGTAAACTTTGTGAATAGGACATGTTAACTATACAACTGATACAGATATTAAAATTCCCCAATTTCTCAGATTAACTATGCACAAAAGATTTGCCTTTAAACAATATTCATCTTACCTGGGTCCATGCTGAAGGATGCCATATTGCTTTACAATTTGTCGTTTGACAATGTTCTTTATGTTTGGGTTTGAGTTTAGTATTGCATTTTTTATTAGCAATTTGTTTTCCATTGTGGTCCAAACACTTGACTGTCCTCCTGTGGGTGGCAGTGTTCTCACTTATACACCTTGTATTACACTACAGGAGAAAAGAAAACAAATTTAGTAATTTTTTACTGTATTTAAAATGCCTTACTCAATTCCACGATTCAGAGAAAAATAAAATTTTGCAGATTTTGTTTATCCATGTTGTCATCATTAGACATTAACAAACACTGTGTTCAGATCATTGTCTTTAATAGTACATTAAGGCTCTATCATTAGGGTAAAAGAAAAGAAAATAGACTGCACTAGGGAATCATGGGAAACAACTGAATATGCTGTTTACACTATTAATCTTAACTGGAATTTAAATACAAAATATGTGCATATTGATTACCTAATTTGCATATTGATTATTCAACATGCACTTTAATGTCTAAAAATGATAAACCTATTGGTGAGTTTCAATGAAAAATTATCTTTACTCACATCAGACCACTCCCCAGTCTCCCAATGTGGGCATTCTTGGGTATTACATTCTTGTTGGTCGATTGGTACTGGTTGTGACTCACACAAAACAGCTCGGATTTCACTCCATGAATTAATATCTTGGAAAAGTCCTTCACAATATATTCTACGTATTTGATATCCACCTCCGCAGCTTTCTGAACAGGCACTCCATCGACCAACTCCCCACCTGCAATTTCAAAATGGCCGCCAACTTAAGTCTCAATTTATGCAAATTATAATGCAGCAAAGAAGTAGTGTTATTAAATTTGAAATTTTGCATGAAAATTTTTTATTAATATATGCATTTATTATAAGAAATCAACTCAAGAAGCTGTTTAGCAATGTTACATGAATCATAATGGAAAATCTCACCTCACAACCGAGGAATTTGATACTGTTTCTAGAACGGGAACATCTGCAAATACAACATAGCGTTAATTTTCAACTGAATCTGACTTGAAAAATATATATTGGTAAAATATTTTCACCCCATCACTGCCTCAATTCAGTGTTTAAAATTATATCATGGATGAAACGAACAAAAATTGTAGTCTATTGTAATCTGGAAAATAATCTAACCCTGTATCACAAGTGTCATTACCGTAGTTAGAATTATTCTTAAAGTATAAAGTTAGTTATTAAGTTCCAATGATGTACTGCGAAGTATTTATTTTCACTTGGAATTTATTTTACTATTTCCACTGAAGGAAATTATCTGTGGAATAAAATCTTAGTGAAAATACTTTCTTTTTTAAATTTTACAGAACAAACAAAATGTCAGCTAAAATAAAGTATGATATGTCTTCTTTGTCATTTATTTATCTGAAAGCAATTTTGCAGTTTGCACACAAGTGTCCCCCAATGAACCTTAAAAGTAGCCTTACCACTAATCTGGGAATAAAACACTTACCTTGTACTGTAAGTGTGAAATTCTGTGAGACGTCTCTAGCAACACACGAATACACAGCAGCATCGCTGAGTTCCACATGACTGATTCGTAATCGGCCATCTTTTAAAATCGTCATCTTTCTGTTTCTCTTGTCGATATTTTCAAAATTCCTCTGCCATCTTATCAAAGCCCTCCTCCAAAATTTCACAGGGCATTTTATTATGACTGTAACTTCCTGGAAGACACTTGCTTCACCACCAATTGTAAAGTAAAGTTTGTTGACCATGTGTTTTTGAACAAATTTGCTGTATTCACCTAGTATAGTAGGACTTTTTTTCCATTTCGGAGGTTCTAGAAAAAACATTTACAGTTTTAGATCCAGCAAACATCATGTGGGATTTGACAAATGTGAAATGTTTTTTTGGGCATTTCCAAACTCAATAATGTGCTATACACATTCGATAATGGTAAATTATCATAGAGTAAGTGTATGACACCATATTCCCTTCTAAAAGTTCAGCATGTCAACATTGAGCTATAAAACAATAAATTTATCAATCAGTTCAAAATCTAATCATTTGATTTTTGTGGCAAATGTTAGGTCTGTGTTTTTCACGCAGTACGCAAGATCTTGCAAAGAGTGGTCAATCACCTATTAATTTTATGTAATATGGAATTTACTAAATATGATGAACTAACTATGAAAACTGTCAAAACTGTTCAATAAAATCAAATCTCAGAGAAATTTAAAGCTGTTATAAATATTTGCTCTATTAGTAGCACATATGCTTATGAAAATTACAGAGGTATTTCTATGGTCAAAAATATGTAGTATACTTATTTGAGTATACCGTACTACAATTAAATATAGTTCTATTGGGGATGCGCTTCTAATAGAACAAATATGGTACACAGTATTTTTACCATAACACGGTGGTCCAGTACATGGTAATATTATAGGTGGTTGTTCTAGCTTATTACACTCAATGGAATCAGTTTCCTCCATACTACCAGTGGTTGTTGGCTTCATACATATAGATGCACGGATCCTGGAACCCTCACCACATGTTACAGAGCACTGAAAAGAAATCAGTGAAAATATGATGTCATTATTAGAATTTAAACTTTTCACCACCAGACTTTCTCACACAAATTTTCTTCACTTTTTTTCTTATATTCTTCAATATTTCTGGAAATTAAACTGTAATTTTGAAGACAACAGACAAAATTTGAATCAATTTTTAGTTTTTACTCGAAAAATTTGGCTGTTTTATCCTACTCTTATTAAAACGCAGACTAAAAACATCACAATTTTGTGAATTGTGATAAATAGAGGGAACTGGTGATGAAAAAAATAATGGCAGTATACATACCGGTAATATGAAAACATAGATAAATTGTGACATGCACAAGTGTATAGTACTGTATAATACTTGGAGAAAGGACCACTATTTGAGGGGCAAAAACAAGTCATGTGGATCTCACTCTCAGTGAGATCTGCAGTGGGAGGCCATTTGTGAACAAAGTCTATTAGCATCATCTAGCATTCTTGTAAAAATCCTGTTTGTGGATGTAGTAGATTTTCCATGATAGATACTCAATGTTTTTTTTATTGCACATACCTCTGACCATGGCTGTGGT